GGAAATTGATCAGGAGATTTCGAATTTCCGAGAAAAGAAATAATTTATTTGTAGAGTGGAAAGATCTACGGATCAAGTGATCAAACCAGTAAATCTGGATGCCTTAAATAAATGGGTGGGAACGTTCCCCGACGATATTGTCCAGGATATGGCCACCATTGCACCGATGCTTGCTGAGCTTGGGTTCGTTCATATTTCTTTTTTTTTTTTTTGATTTGAATGAAGGCAATAACATTTTTGTTTGTAAGCTCTCGATATGCGTGTATGTGCATTATGCGTATGTTTGCGCGTATGTACGTATATCTGCATGTTTGTATATATATATATATATGTGTGTGTGTGTGTGTGTGTGTGTGCGTGTGTGTGTGTGTGTGTGTGTGTAAATCTATATGTATGTATGCATGTGTATTTGTGTTGAAGTTTTCATTTGAAAAAGTGGTTGGAATAATTTTAGCATAATTTAGGGCGTCAGCTTTAATGCAAAAACCCCAAAAATTTAACGCCTTTATTTTCCAAAATTTATGATTCGCTGTTTTCAATAAACTGTGTTTTCGTGAACGTTTCATTACTGAACTGTGCAAAAAAAAAAATCAACTTTGCAACAGTTTTTCTTTTTGCTCTCTCGAGTTTTGTGGATTTTTTTTTTTTGAAATTGTCAATTGTATACCCACACTGAATACTGGGTGTTCGCGGTATTAAATTTGTGGTCAAAAAAAATTAAAAAATTTTTGTTCTTTTAAACTGAAGAAGAGTAAAAACTTCTCTTAGTGAATTTTTAGTTTTTTTTTTTTAGTTTTTAATTTCTAAACTTTTTAAAACGCCGGGATTTTTTCCTTGTTTTTAAAATTTTTAAAAACTTCATGAAATTTAAAATTTATCCGTTTCATTTCTCTTTTCTATTTTAACGTACGATTTTATCAGCACAGGTGGTGTGCTGTCGAAGTTCGACGAAATATATCAGAAAAGGTTATGCGAGGGAGAAATTTTTCCTGTTGGCTAATGTAATTATGTTGTTGTAGATATGATCCGAATGCAAATCCACCGAAATATGGTGAGCCGGATCCGATTGTGCTGAGGAAT